AAATTTAACTGCATACCGATATTGGCGAGTTGCCTCGGCAGTTTTTATGCACAAGGGGGATCTCAAACACATTCGTCTTTCCTCGTTTTGCTCAAATCCCTACAGATAATAGTCTACATTTTCATTTTTCATTTTACTGTTCACAGTCAATTTTTGTCTTATGATCGACATTTCCATTAAAATGGCAAGTCCATGGAGACCATGCTTACATACTGCAAAATGTGGCCCAGTTTCAAGGACTATTGCCTTGTGGCTTTCTAGACACTGAAGGAGCATTCCATAACAGAATAACTGTGGACAAAACAAATGTCTTGAGACAACCTGGAGTAAACAAACCTCAGGTGGAGTTTTTAAAGGATGTGCTCAAAGCAGAGAAGTACCGGCAGGAGCATAATCGATAACCTAGTTTCGAGATATGGTGCAAAAAGGTACTTTCAATGTTCTCTCGCCACTTCTGTGAAAACTAACTTAACATCGTCGGTTACCACACAGCAGCTAAACGAGCTCCGCCTAAGTCTCACGAATAAAGCCAAATTTGTATACTTAACTCTGAAGAGGAAGCCCGGCCCAAGCAACATCTAAATTAGAAAAAGTTTTTTCTATTCAATGGAAAACCTGTGGATGGATTCAAACTTGAAAGAGCTTCTCATAAGAAACCATTTGTCAATCGGAGGCGGCATCCCTCCATTTGTGTTATATGTAACATCAGGACGCACATCAGAAATTGCATGAGAAGCTCGGCCAAACACCTTTCAAAAGGATAAGTGCAAAAATATTATTATTTTTAATTGAAAATGAAAAAAAAAACACGATGAGTTGAATCTGTAGGCAAACGTGGCTTAAGCGGTATCGCATCGTAGGTATATCCGACAACTTAGGAGTTTAAACTGACCCTTGCCTTACAACTAGGTATATGAATCGGCTCGGATCACCGTTTCGTAGATGCTGTAGGAGCTGTAAAACTGCTCTGTTTGGGAGCTACTTGCTGCAGCCTGGGTCGTCATTTTTGCACCACCTATAAAAAGAGGCGGGTAAAAGTCTTAAATGGCTGACGAAACCGTAAATAGTTCTTCAATGGGGGAAATTTGAAGTTGTCTTCAACTTTAGGTCTAAGTGTGTCATTCATGCCCTAATTAGCTCTGTTGATGAAGCCTAGAGATACATCGGAATTAAGTATACTAGCTACTATTCATCCCCCTGGAAAACTTCTCGCATCCAAAAGATGGCTTTACTCCTTCCAATAATTTCACTGCTTCTAAATTACTGTCCATGTATGTATCCAACGGCCCTATAACGCACCGCAAAGGTCGAACTTCACTGTATGGTAGTGCTCCGCTTCGAAGGCGAATACTTTTGAACTTCATTTCACACAACCACTAAATTTTTTGGTGCGATTATGACATTATTTTCTTCTACTTTAAATGGAAATCAAATTATCAATCGTACAAAATAAAGGTAGAGCTGGATGGAGGTGCACTGATATCCTGGGTCTACATACCAGCTGGCAGCTACATTTCGGGTGTAAATATCTCATCGTGTTCTACATAATCTTCGATTGATTTATAAAGAGAAGAAATAGCTCAATATAAAGAACGAGGACTGAGATAGACCAAAATAAGAACATTAACCCAGGAAGTGTTCCATCCGGGAATTTACAAGGTAGCTTGCACAGAAGGAGTGCAGACATTTGGCTTATGCTCATTCCAGAAAGAGCATGGAAGTTTTGAAATTTGTTTCCAACCAGCTATCTGTTTATCTCTTCCTCTCCTACTCTCTGATTTTATTGCCATGATTATAATTCTTTAAACTTACCTTCGCTCATCGCTCGCTCACATATCACAAAATTTTTCGCGCTGCAATCGCGATCGTTCCACATGAATGTGCTCGTCAATGGGTTGCGGTTCGTTTGAATACCTGGCGGTGTGCGAAAAAAACGACGGAGTTCTATACAGTCTTGGCTGCTAAGACCATCATCGTTGGGCTGCTTATTATAGTGACTGTGTTCCGTCCATCCCGGAAACCAGTCTAATCAAAGAAAATAATAGGAGGAAAATGCAATTAGTTAAGCCAATAAATATGTTTAAGATCTGTACTTTGTATGTACTCACTTGTATATTGAAACAACAGCCCATCGCTCCAACGAAAGTCTCCTTCATAACTGCTATCCGAGCCACCGACCCAGTAGGCGTTTTGCTCACTATAACCCGGACTGTTGAAAACTAACTCATTGACTATTTGTTGTTGCTGTTCAGTGCGAATGGAAGCTAAATGGCCGCCTAAATTTACGCAATGTTCCTCGGCATCTGGCCAAGACATGACCGTTTCGATGGCGTTTATACAAAATTGCTGCATTGCAATCCAGCCGAAGTCGCAGCTAGAAACGATTTCGGTAATAGGCAGCGCTCTGTAGGCCAAATAAATAGTCGGCAGTTTAGTAAAGGATGTATTGTTGTCCGTGCCTGAACTCAAGTCCCCACCTAGAGGCAAGGTATTATATGTGGCACGCGATGCTTTGAAGAGATGTATGCTCAGCGTGTTTCCCGTTGAGGTTAGAATAAACGCACGCATGCGGTTTGTGTCGTTTATGCAATATGACCAGCGAATGTAATCGCTTTCGAATACCTTAATAACTACGCCATCACAGTTAGAAATATCATTGACCGCCTGCAAAGGTTTGCCGCTGGCGCCGTAGTTAAAATCGTTCACTTGATTTTCCATGAGCCTCAGAAATCCATCGAGCGCACTGGTAGAGCGTTTATTAATATGCTCTCTCGTGTGATTGTAAGCATTCCGCGCGCCTGAGCCATCATCAGTGCGTGCCGCCGCCTTGGGCTCGGTACGCCTAAACAGTGTTGTTGCGATGGGATTCTTCTTTGCGCTCCCAGTGCCACTATTGGCGGTCATATTTATGCGCTGCGTGTCGACTTGTACGCCCTGCGTGGTGTAGATGTTGAAAGTGTCCTGCTCACCAGCAGCATTCAGTTGAATACCGTCATTTGGCTGTAGTATGGCGCTATCGTTGTTCGTTACGAGCGTTAGACTTATGCGATTACCGTACGGCAGATGGATACGAAAGTAGCACTCCAGTGCATCGCGCATGCTTGAGCGAACATAATACTCGCCCGACTGATTACTCGTTGTAAGATTGTAACAGTAGTCTACTAGCTTGTAGCTCAGACTGAACATTGGACTCTTGTGGAAGTGTACTGTGGTGCGACTACGCACATCAAAGTGATAGCTGCGATCGGCAGCATTCAGCTCTTCCAACTTGCCACACAATCGCGAACGATCGTTGAAACGTATGAAGCCACCGCTGTTGCAAGGTACATTCAGTCGCTGCAGTTCAACGAGTATGCCCGCCGGTGGGACGTCGCCTTTCTCCAAATTCGCAGTCGCTGAGGGACTGTCTGGCTCGAAGAGTCGATACGGAGGGAAATGTACGGAGCAGTCGATGCTGTACAATGGAAGTGCTGTGTAATCCAACGAGCCTCGGGAAACTTCGCGTAATAGCAATTGGCAGTCTATGGAGAAGAAAGTTAGGAGGAAATTAAATCAAGAGTCGTTAACACAAGCGAGTGCTACGCGTTCGAACATTTTGTTTAAAGCTAGCTTGCGACCGAAAATTGTCAGTCGTGATTTATAAAACCAGCAAAACGCGTGTGGGTGTACATATTGGAAAGCAAAATAATGGACAATTAAAAAATAGGGCTATGAATTGTCTAACAAGTCACAGGACAAGTCTAAGGATATAAGAAGGTTCAATTAGATTAGGTTAGATGAGGATGGCTGTTTACATTTGGTTGGTGCACTTATACTAGTAATCCAATTGTCATTTGTCGTGCCAATAAGAGAGGATACGGAGGAAAAGGAAATATGTTGGCTGAACAGTCTCGCCTAATAGTTTGTGGTAGAAAAACGTTGGGTTCTATCAACAAATCTCCGCAAGTTGCTTACGTCTGTTTCCAAAAGCTTCTCGGGGCGAGAAAAGTCAGATTCAGAGTGTTTAAACTTTAAATTCTAGAAGGGTGGGTGGATGTTGTTTCACCCCCTCGAACCCCATACAGCTGCTGCAGTTGCGCCTTACCGCATTAATTCTGATTGCAAAATGACCGGTTATTTATCCCACTTACCAGAGATAAGAGCTACATTTACTGCCGTCGGTTAACCCGTTGCCACAAGAACCTAGCCACCTTGCATTTCAAGGTTTTTGAACATCATTTGCAGAGCTGACTAAAACCCATCTATCCAGAAGAGTACCAGATGTCGCCAGTGGAGCTCCGACCATTTCCTTACTCGGCAACAATTCCACAAGTGTGTCATGTGAAATAAGTAACTTTATGCATAAGTTCATAGAGAACTTTCCTTTCCCTAACAGGGTTGCAGACATGGGCAGCATAAGCCGATATAATTCGGGAATTTTTAATGACTTTGCTGTTATATTTTTCGTTACCTTCAAGGAATTTTCGGTTTTTTCGGGACTTTTCGAAAATTCTATGTTGTGTTTTATTTCTTAGGATCTTATTGAAATTTCGCGGAATTTTTTGGGACTCCTCGGGATTTATTTCTGGACCGCTTTGGAGTGTTCCAGGATTTTTTGAGGCTTTTCCGATATTTTTCAAGACTCTTTATTGAGATCTTCGGGATTTGTTGCTATATTTCTGAACTTCTTTGTCCTTTCATTTGCCATTTTTCTGGAACTTTTTTGAGTTTTTTCCTTGCATTTCCGAACCTCTCGCGAATTTTTCGGGATTTTCTGAAATATTGCTGGAAGTGTGCATGCTTGATTTTTTCTGGTATTTCGGGAACGGGTTACTTGTTATTTAAAAATACAGGCTTTATCATATTCGTTATTTTTTA